TAACATTGTAATACTAACTGTAGCACTGTAATACTAACTGTAACACTGAAATATTTAACTGTAACACTAACTGTAAAATTGTAATACTAACTGTAACATTGTAATACTTACTGTAACAATGTAATATTTAACTGTAACTCTAACTGTAACATTGTAATACTAACTGTAACACTGTAATACTAACTGTCACACTGTAATATTTAACTGTAACACTAACTGTAAAATTGTAATACTAACTGTAACATTGTAATACTTACTGTAACAATGTAATATTTAACTGTAACACTAACTGTAACATTGTAATACTAACTGTAACACTGTAATACTATCTGTAACACTGTAATATTTAACTGTAACACTAATTGTAACATTGTAATAATAAGTGTAACACTGTAATACTAACTGTAACACTAATATTTAACTGTAATACTAACTGTAACATTGTAATACTAACTGTAACACTGTAATACTAACTATAACACTGTAATATTTAACTGTAACACTGTAATATTTAACTGTAATACTAACTGTAACACTGTAATACTAACTGTAACACTGTAATATTTAACTGTAACACTGTAATACTAACTTCAACATTGTAATACTAACTGTAATACTAACCGTGGTTAATGAATGTCGCGTTTTTTGAAAACGTTCGAATGTAAGACGCTTTCGCTCCGCTCTTCGTAATAAATAGAAAGGGTCAATCTCCTTCCCATAGGTCTTTGCGCTTTACGTAACACATGTCGAACTGTGTGGAGTTCGAGAAGGGGTATGACACATCCAAAGCTGACCAATTTTATAGTTAAGCGGAATTTCTCATTTATACAGAACACAGACGCGCACGCAATCGTGAAGTGGAAAATATGTTTTACAGCCCGTGTACTCATGTGTAAACTGACAAAGTCGAGACTTCTTTTTTGTTTTACAAAAATAAATATAATCAATTGTCTATTTGGCCTTTTTAGCGTGGTCGCGAAAACTAGACTGACCGCGACAAAAAAGAAGTCCTGACTCTGCCACTCGTGTGCTATTGATAACTTACGACTTTCTAAATGTATCTAATACTGTCACACGCAACGTAATATTACTGTAATTGGTATAGTACAGGTGTGATGGTTCAAATACCAAAATGGCAACAGTAACAGAAAGACTTCCCTGGCGGCGATGATAACATACGAACACGGAGCCAACAGATGAGGTTTCAACTGGTACTGGTATTATTATACTCTGCAAACATCAAGTACAATAACGCGGTAAAACTCCACTACTCCAATAACTAGATACTTAAACTCCAATACAATTCAACGAGATCTCCGATTTCATCTCAGTGCTGAACAACTCCCCTATATATACCCCCAGTCTATAAATAGACCATTACATCAGCATACATAATGAGTCTGGAACTTACTACCAATTTCTAGAATGTTCCATTACCTTCTATTGCCTCCTACAGTGTTCTATTACCTATTCAACCATTTTCTAAAAAAACTAGAATATTCCACCCAGACACAGCACGGTTCTAGAACATTCTCAGTGACACGGAAGTGGTAAATAAGTCGTATGCGACAAATACGTGTCAAATTGGTAAGGAAATTAAATATAGATATAATGGCGTAGTGTGTAGTTTGTGCGTATATTTAATACGAACATTATTTTTTTAAATCTTTCAAAGCAGAATGTATCACTGATCCAACACTTTTGCCTAACGCCCTTGATCGAACGTTACATCGTGACTGGTACGCTGTATCTGTGTCCGCTGCGGCCTTGCAATACGCTACGCTAAATCGCCGCCGTGGCCCGACTGTGCGTGGGGTGCGTACCCGGGGTACATGTACGTAGCCTAACCGTTATTCCGTTCACACGAGTAGTGTTTTCAAACAATCAAGGTAGATGTTATTGGTAACTGTTCTGACTGTGTTATAGCTAAGGTACATTACTTATGTACTTCTGGTATATATTTGAAATAAAATTTATCATTAATAACAGATATCTAAACAACAGTATATAACATAACCAGGTATAAGAACTATTTGTAACTCTTAAATGTCAATATCACCACCCCTATTTCAAAATCACAAGTGTTATTTAATAGCACCACTGCTGCAATGACCAACAAT